TACAGTAACCAATATGTAAACCCTTTCATAAGCTCCTTTTCGTATTTATGTACCTAAAGGTTTTGCAAGCAAATGATGCACTCTAACGCTCTGCAGGATGTCCTGGAAATGCGCGTACTTTTTCACTCTTATATACTCTGCCCATTTACCCTAACTACTTTGTCCACCCGAGACCAGGACTACTAATTACATATTACATACATCATATATATATATATATATGTAGTTGATCAACCTGTGTATCTTTTACCCTACCCTATACCACTTCTCTTGTTTGTATCCCACCAGGCTCTACGTTTATTTGGTAAGGTATATTATCCAAGTCTCATTGCATCTTTGGCACAATCGTTTTTTAGAATAGAGTAGAGTACAGCAGTTGGGACGAAGCTGAGGAGTGAGAGGTCGTTATATTATACGTAAAGGTCCCCCCCACATATATATATATACACATGCGCCTGAAGTAATGCAATGAACTGCAAGTTGTTCACACCCGGCCTGAATTCTTCTTGAGCTTGCCTCGTACTTGTGCAACATGTATCAAAAAGTCAGACCTGATGCTGGTCATTCTGGTGGGAGGAGATACAAATAGAGCTCAACAGGCTCAACAAAGTCCAAATGGTAAGATGGAAATTCTGATGTCTGATTGACGTTGATAATTATGTGTTCCCGACATTTTCTGCCTGTTGCAGTGTTTGCAGCTGGGATGTACTGTATAGTGTCCTTGATCTTCCAGCACGAATATTTTTTTGCAGGTTTCATTTCAGGTGTCCTGTGCCATCTTGTGAGGTCATAACACTTCCTGGAAGTTCGGAAGCCCGTAGAAGTCCAGCAAAGCCTACAAGAAAAGAAGAATCAAGAGGCACAAGTTAGCCTTGGAACACCGAACTCGAGCTGATATCACACCCCAACAAAGATTTCAGTGGGCTGGCTGATTCTCAGATCTCAGTGGTCCTTGGCCCTATAGGTAGTAGATTGTCAGATTGTCATACCTGAGCAAACAGTGGTATCATGGCCTTGACAGGCCTTCTGAGGTGTACTCAGAACTTAGAACCTAGTGGAACAAAGACCAGGACCCTTGAGGATCCCTGAACAACTGAGGATCCCTTGCTCAAGCCGCAGTGCAGTGTGGCTCTACTGTCCCCCATTGTCTCTACTGTCCGTCTTTGCTCATAGTAGTAAGGCCAGGAGCCCCTAGTAATGTCCTTGTTCCTAGTAGCGATGCCCTTTGCTCCTAGTAGCGTCCTCTACCCCCCCCTCGACTTTTTTCAGCACCAGAAAGTGCATGGTGACTTGTCGGGACTCGGCCACGGCCGAACCACCATTTCTGGTCGCAGACTGCGGTGGAAAGACCATTGTGACATGGTGAGATCTTTCGACAAATCAATTTTGTTCGAGCCAAGAAGAGAGCATGTTAGTCGGATGCTCCGCATATACAGTACCTCTGCCACTCCACGTTGGATTCTACATCTTTTTCTTGTATATTTCCACACATGAACTGGGTTCCAACCTTCCAGCGAAAGGGTCTTCATTCTCAACTCATGGCGTTTCCCATCGCCCAATTGACGGTAGAGTCTGTAGAGTCCGCAGCATCTGCCAAAACTGTTCATTGATGAAAGGATCACCATCAACATGGTTGTTGCTTGTCACGACTGACTCTTACTTGCGTGTGCATGTGGAATTTGGACTGCTCAAAATATTCTATTCTAGCTGCTAAATATGGGACTTCCTGCACAAGGATTGAACAGTCTTCATGGTTGGTTCTGAAGAGGGTGGCCTATCGGTGTTCAGGTTCTTGCTGGGTTCCACTAACCTGCACTCTACGTTTTGGCGGTTGCTCATGTGGTATTGGTCAAAGGAATCCATTTTCAGCGTCCCCTAAAGCTCAAGGGCAGAAAATCATTGGTAGATGGCCGCTACGCAGTAGAGTATCTAAACAACTTACCTATATAACATGCCAATACTAAAGGACCATATGATATGATTTGTGTGTGTTGCCTCAACAAACTGTTCACTGCACACATTGAAGATGAACATATCAATATAAATATTGATACACTGATATACTACCTATATATAGTCATAATCACCTGCAGCAAATTGCGACTTCTGAATGCATGCATAGATAGAACCACAGAATCTAACAAGCCTTGACTCTCAGGTATACTCATGTAGAACCACTGAATCAAAAAAAAACTAGGAAGCAAATCATTAGTGCGTGAGCCATCCTGCGTCCAGTTCCTAGAAGCTTCAGTAGCTAGGAGCGAACTTCTCCCTTACATAATTAAGTAGGTGCCTACTTAAGGAGGCAGGGCCACGGGCTACGGGTGAACAAATTAAAACAATAGCTCCAAAGAAGCTGTTCACATCGTAGGTGGCTACAGAGTTGTAGGCGCTCTCTGAGGCTCGGATCTCACCATGTTGTGCTCTCTGCGTGGATTCGTTGTTCGCCTCTGCGATTTGCACCGAGGCACCGCCACGTCCACTGATGGGTCAGGTGGGTCTCCACTGCCAGAGATCTCGAGAGACTCAAATGTAGTACAGTATGTCTAGAGCCCCTAGTAGCGTCCTTGCTCCTAGTAGCGATGCCAGGAGCGCCTAGTAGGGTCCTTGCTCCTAGTAGTACGGCCAGGAGCCCCTAGAATATGTATATATATGAGTGGCGGCATTGATTCATTATTCATTACTAAAATCAAATACACTATGTTATTATGTGGGGCCCTATCTCGTTCAAACCACTTATATATATATAAGTAGCAGGTCGGCAGGTCATGTCACAGTAACTCACTCTATCATTGCCTCCAGTGCACACATTCACAACGACTGCTTGGGGTCCAAGCCACCCTGGTTACAACATTGGCAGCATGGAAGCTTGACCAAGCCCGATCACAACTGAGTGTTGTGGCCGTTGGTTGCAGGCATCATTCCAGTCATTACACCTTGAAGCTTCAATGGCAAACTTCCCTGGCAAATATGTTTCTAAAGAGTTGGCTTGCCTTGAGCAAACACACATTTATACCCAACGCTACCTCCCCAGGCTGAGTGAACAAACCAACCTGGATTGTTCAAAAAAAGAACAAGCATATGGACTATGAACCACACACTCGGATGTTGAATGCAAATCAATGCAACAAATAGATGACCTAGTCGGGCTTAGCCTGAGAGGTCTCCATGCAAGAACTGCGATTGGAGCGGTTTTACTTCCATGTGCAGAGTTCGTGGCAGGTGCAGTACTTTGGAATGGATTCTCCTTGATCTTTACTGATTTACCACTGGTTTTCCTTAGTTTTACTGAAATCCTTCAGTCTTCAATTCAATGGTTTCTATCCATGTTCGTTCTATCATGTTTTCCATGGTGTTCGTTTACAGATAGATGTATGGATGGATGTACGGACGGACGGATGGATGGATAGATAAATAGATAGATAAATAGATAGATAGATAGACAAACAGGATAGGATAGGATAGATAGGATAGATATAATAGATAGAATAGAATAGAATGGAGAATAGAGAATAGAATAGAAAGAAGTAAAGTAAGATAGGATAGATGGATCGAGGGATGGACGGATGGACCGACGGACGGACGGATGGGTGGGTAGGTAAGTAGGATAGACAAGATAGCACAGTCGAGCGGCACAAGCCAAAAGCCAAAGGCCACAGAATCCAGAAGCCATGAAAGCCAAAAGCCACAGAAGCCAGAAGCAAAAAACAAAAAGACACCTAAAAACCAATAATACACATACAAAATAAATGGCCCTCCTGTACTTACTAGCAAGATGCCTGAGCCGCAACCCACTGGGCCATGTGAATCTACAGATTTGTACACGCCGCTCCGCTCCCTCGGAGGGCCGTTGCCCGGAGGTTCCAACGCATTGCGCCCCCAGGCGTGCGAGGTTCGCCGTTTTCTGCTGGTGCAGGGATGTCTAAGAAGCAAAAGACCAAGGCGGGAAAATCACGGAATCATATTCCAACAGTTCAAACAGAAAAATGTCACGTGTTGCATATATTACCTCAATACACTGTAGTTGGTACACAGCTATACACACACCATCACATGTCCCACCCCAGTGAGAGACTGGAGGCCTGGATCTTCGACAGCGCTACTCTCCCAACAGAAGGGTCTGTTTGTTTGGACCTTGGCCACCTCAACGATCGAACATGAGTGTAAGATACGCGGGCATCGAACAATGAACCATGGTTTTGGAAAATGTTCATCATGTGAATGCTGGTAGTGCTGACGGTGTAGCTTGTGGCCACAGCTAGGAAGTCCACAGATCTCTCCCTCCTCACAGTCCCTTCAAAACATTCTAGACTCTAGACTCTAGACAAACAGCAGCGAGCTGCTCACTGCTGAGGAATTCAGACTACGGACCTGCAATACAAAGAAAGACATATCAAAGACATATCCACAATGTCCACAATGCACAATGACCCAAGATTGCTGGCTGAAGCATCCCCATGAGGAACCGCCGGTCCAATGAGTTTGATCACGTATCTGCGCACGTCTGCTTTCGGGGCGTGCCTGAGACAAATCCAACCTGAAATCTGCTGGCAAATCGAGAACAAAGGCGCAGGGAAGGCACAAGGGACACAGGGGATTGCGTCTGGAGGGTTGCTGAGTGCAAAAAACTACCTGTTGAGTCAAACTTTAAAGAGGAGGCCATCACTACTAGGTTGGAGGCCGGCCTCCAACCTACTAGCGATGGCCTCCAACCTAGTGGCGATGGCATCCTCTTTAAAGTTTGACTCGACAGGTGAGAGCAATGCTGGCTGCTCAAGGCTCAAGGTCCATAACAGTCTCGACAACAGCAACTACCAAGAGAGATAGACAAATGCATTCACTTTCGCTATTTTGTCTTGCCTCTAAGCCTACTTTGCTTCTGAGCCAGAAGGGTTTGACCCAAACCGGCCAGGAAATGAGAACTGTAGCTTGAAAATGCCGGAATGCTGCACTGAAGTGCTGACTCCAAGGTGGAGCTTCCCACACTTGTATCCGATGTATTAATCACATCTGTTCATCTGCAAACGCCTCTCCATCAACACCTCCAAGTCAATATCCTGAGCTGTGCAGTTGAAACAGGGCAAAGCCAAAGTACTGAACCTCAGACTCATCTGTTCTCAAATTTGCCAAGCTTCAGGCTTTAACTGCTTGAATTGTATTAACGCACCAACGCAAGAGACCTGAGTGAAAGGGATCAGGTGCTGTAGGTCAGCAGAGTCAGCAGTATGTGCAAGCACCCACCAATCGAAAGTTCACAAAAATTACATGCAAGAGCACGACAATCCTGTTCAACTCGCCATCCAATGCTATCTGTTGCGTAGCTACAAGGTGGCAAGCGATGCCAATTATCCATATAAGAAGAAACCTTCGTCCAGACCAGACCAACTTGCAGCTGCACAAGTACATGTGTTGCATGAATGTGCCTTGAATCCCGGTATTCTGGGAGGCCATCTACCATTCCAAAGCTGAATGGCAATGCTGCTGATTGGTAACCAACCACATGCGTGTATATTGGCATGAACGGCTAGTGAACACTGTTAACACGCCAATACATTCCTGACCTGGCAGCAACTGACGGAATCATGAACTCTGAGCCACACAGGGAGTCCCGTGGAGCGCTAAGCACAGGCGCCCGGTGTCGTTGGGTAGAAGGGCTAGTGCCGCTTCCATGATCTGCAGACCACGCAATTCAATTTGCATGTCAAATCTACAGCTGGTATTATGCGCAAGCAAATCAAAATTGCAAAGTTTTCTATTATATAATGCTAGCTAGTCTTCTATCAAAGTTTGTCCTGCAGAAATCACTGTAAGCTGTGAGGAACGGTGTGTGCGCTGTGAGTGCCTGGAAAACACAACAAGAAGCCCGATCCAGCAAGGGCCCAATGCGCAGCTGCCGGACTGGCTGCAGGTTGCTGAAGAAAGGGTCCATTTGCTGCCCCTGCATTGAGGAGCCAAAAGCTCAAATACAACCGAGGAGCTTTCAAGTAGATTGTATAAAGTGATCTTGTCTAGGTCAGCCTAGTTCGTCTGCATTGGTGTGCTGGGTTCTCAACTGCTGCGATTATTTCGGGGTGCTTTGCCCCTGTATTTGCCAGATTGGGAAGGTAGCCATTCCAAATCATTCCACACACTCATCGTTTCCAAGTGGATGAGGAGGTTCCATAAATTTCATGATCTCTAACACCTCACCTCTCAAACAGAAAGGTGCAGTTACGTGGTTGTCGGCCAGGCAGGCAGGCAGGCAGGCAGGCTGGCTAGCTGTCTGTCTGTCTCTGTCTGTCTCCGTCTGTCTCTGTCTGTCTCTGTCTGTCTGTCTGTCTGGCTGGCTGGCTGTCTGTCTGTCGGTCTGTCCGTCCGTCCGTCTGTCTCTCTCATCAGCCTGTCTGTCAGAATGCTTTGGTGATGACGGCTGCAAGAACAGTTCAAGGACGGAACACTAAAATGTCATGCCTTCTACTCTACTGCTGTAGGTTTTTGACTTCAAGAAGTTCAAAAGGTGCCTCTCGGACCAAACTCAACATCCCAGAAAGGCGTGCATGTGATGGGCAAGCTCTCATGCCGACATTGGAGATCCTTGGAAATGCTCGTGTTGGTTTCGCAAAGGAAAGGCAAGAACTTCAGTTTCAGGAACATCGTCAGATATATATATATAGAGAGAGATACTATTGGACCTGTCCAAATCGTCTGATCTTACACATCAAAGTGAACGCTTGGAAGCTACAGGAGTATGTTGCTGCCTCCAAGTTGCAAACGGGCACGAATTCCGCACTTGGACAAAAGAAAGGTAGTGGCTGCCTGCCAGCTGGCATAGATCTCAAACTTCTGCACGAGGGATTATCCCCATGCCCTAACTTTGAGTTTTAAATATACTGTGCACGTTACACCGGCATAGACCGGAAATTGTGCTTTGGATGAGAAAACTCAAGAGGTGCAATTATGCGGTCACTGGGAGTTTTACCTCCGACAAACGGATCTTGAGTGCTAAGCAGGTACGAGCAGGGCTTATACCACTTATATATACAGGCAACGCTATGTGTTGGCATAAGCATTGGGGACGGCTCCAGGGTTCCGATCTGCCTGGTTTCAAAAGTCACAAGGCTCCATTCCACGTACCAGGGTGCCAGGCAAAAGGTTGTGATCCCTGGCTCCAAGGTTCCAGCAGGCGAATAATTGCGCAGGGCGGTTCAGAAGCAAAAAGCCCTTGGTTTGAACCCCTTACAGCTTGCAGTGACATGAGATGCTTGGCATTGTGAAACGCTTCAGCATGGACTCGGACCGGAGTCTTTTGCCTGCGAGAGCAAGCAAGGTTATCATTTTCTCTGGCTACAGCAAACCCGCGATGCATGCGCAAATGTGCCCAGGCTGGAATCCTTCCGAAAAGATTTGCTTAGCCTTTAACCAACTTCTGACCCTCTATCCACCATCCTCCACCATCCTCCACCGAACCTCAAGACCACATTTGCGATCAAACGAGTCTTCGATGACACTGTTGTGGCCGATGATATTGGTGTGACAATGCACGGAATCCAACACAATAACGATCTTGTGAAACCGATGACAAGGTGCAGAACCACCCGATCTTCTGAGTTTCATCTACAAGGAGCGTCGAAGAATCCATACTTGAGTCGAGGTTTGATAGCATGCACTTACAAACTCATATGTACATGAGGGGAGCATATTGTCCAAACCCAACAATGAAACTCACGCCAATACCGCCCAACCCGTTGCCCTCACCCACCCGCCCAGTCCACCATTCCCCTGTCACCTCATCTTTGTTGCAATGTACAAGGAAAAAACATGGTTCAACAAGTATCAACAAAAATTGGTCTCGCGCAGAAAGTGCTCAACAATTATCTGGCAAGAACATGCAAGAACACACAATTGGCTGCAAGTTGATCAAGAGAACAGTGACCATGGCAAGTGATACTTAACAGGCCTGACACATTGTGGACATGCCTGCATGAGGTTCGTATCCACAGAATCCAAGAAACTTAGACACTACCTGGAAAAGCCTTTTAACACGTGTGTCCAAGTTGGATGTGCGTCAGCAGCTAGCTTCAGCATTGACGGAATGACCCAGCACAACAGCTTGCTGGCCTCACCAAAGTCTGTCACCTTCAAGCCCAAAATCAATTGCTGGTAGTCTTCACTCCGCCATCCATCTGGGGTGGTCGGCAGCACTTGGAGGATGTGGTAGATCACCTCATGCATGGCACCAATTAGACATGCTATGAAGTGCTCTTTTGTTCTGTGATGTTCTGTGCCTTGATTCATCATAAACGCCGAACTGTGCCGAAGCACTCTCTGTGTGAAACAGCCTGTCAAACAACACAACGTAACAAAAACAGGCATCACATGTGGAAGCTGACATAGGTCCATGCTTAATTCCGCCGATGGCCTACAAATATATACATGAGAGAGAGCAGTCTTAGCGTCCTGTTTTGCATAATATGGTGGATATTGCCAGCCGTCTGATGTGCTCTTGAAACAACAGGAGGTTAGCAAAGGATTGGAAGTTGAGTTCTGCACTTAGTCTTGCCCACTTGCAAGGAAGCACTTATCCGGTTTAGGATACATCCTAAACTCAAACCAACTATATATAACTATAGAATAAATCAAGTTCACAACTGGAGGTGGACAGCCATCACTGCCCAGTTGCACAACCCAATCGTTCCTGGAGCACCTCTTTGCAATCATCATTGATCCACTCCTCCAATGCTACCTTGGTGATCTTGCAAACACGGCTGAACAATACCTTTGTCGATATGCAAAGGATTCTGACAACTTCAGGCGAACGTCATTGGACAGCCTGTGACAGCATTGGCGAAAAACGAAAAAAAGTGTTCCTGAGGAATGACTCGTTTTAGCACCTGCACAGGCAGGGTGACAACAACCCACGCGCGCTTCAACAAGGCCAAACTCTGAGGCCTATATAAGTAATAACAAGAAGCTACTAGGAACAAGTGCATCGCTACTAGTAACAAGTGCCTTACTAGTAGTAACAAGAAGCTACTATAGATCATTTATAGATCCTAGGCACGAGATGCCGCAAGTCGTGCCGAACCAACTTCCGCTGAACCTCCCAAGCGGCCCAATCTGTGTAGGACGACGACTGGAAACCAACACAGGCAAAATCTCAACTGTTATATTGTTTTTTGTAGGGCAGTGGCGGGGGGTAGCGCTAGAAGAGGTAGCTATAGTATCTATTAAGTAGGACGTTCCTAGCAACTAGTAACTGGATGGAGGATAGTTCACGCACTATTCATGTGGTTCTTAGATGTTTAGGGAAACTCAACAAGTCTGAGTCTTTGTTAACAAATTAAAAGTAAAAGTAGGTTTGAATCATACACAACAGAAAATGTCTTTGTAGCATGTTCGCACCCAAAGTCCCAAAACCAGACTCAAGTCGCATGGAAACCAACAACTGACACTGTAGCATGGTCCAATCCTACTGAACTCCTCCCTTTCAGGCCTCCTGGGCCAAAGTGGCCTGAAGGCGACCAGGAAATGAATATGCAAAGTCAGCTAGGGCTTGACTCCTCGGTCGTACGAGTCTCCCGAGAGATTCTTGGATGAAGATTTGACACATTCGATCAAAGGTGCTCAACTTGATTTTGGATTCGTTTAATGCCATGCACAACCTCCTGACACGCGGTGCTCCAAAGCACTTCGGGTCACAGCATGTACGAGCGACGGAACGCTCCCTTCATTGAGTAGCACCAGCGCTTGTTCTTCAAGCGCATCCAGGAGAGCGTGAGAATTACTTGCCTACAAATCGCCAAGGAAATCAGGGTGAGTGCCAGTTGTGTTTTAAGCATCTTTAAACTCTTGAAACCTTTCAACAGGTAACAGGATATCGTCAGAATTGAAAGTCCTAGACCTAGAACACTTTGCGCACCATCGACGTTTGACTGGGGAACAACCATCGAACACTTGGCGCACCTGATGCGCATGATGGCAGGTTTATGGTATTGTATAGATTCAGGGTTCCTATTGCAAATTTTGTTGGATGTGTGGCAATGCATCTTGCCTGCCATCAATTCATATCACGACTTTCCTGCAAGGCCAAGCTGCAAGGTCTTGATACCGCAGCATGACGAAGGCACGTGAAAGGTTCCCCACGTCCAAAGAGTTCAGCTCCGGAAACAAGGCCAAAGAACGCCTTCGGTCACAAAAAAAACTCTTTCCAACGCTTTAAAACAGCAACAAGGCTTAAGACTGCAGAGACACATGGTTGGGAAACCAATTTCAGATAGCGTTGCAAAGCAAACATCTACTATACACCATTTTTCGTTCTACTCTTCTTCTTACAATGAGTTGAATGGCCAAACACTGCCTGACGATTCAAAAACCAACACGTGTGTTGTAGTGTTGGTCCGTTAATCCTTAATTAAAAAACAAATGAATGTTTGTTTTCACTGGCCGGAGAATTGGGTTTTCTTATCGCTTTGTGCAAAAACTGTGTACTGTATTTTGAACCTTGTGACACATTCGCTTTGGTCGGGTCCCCTCCAACCCTTGAATTTTGCCAATCAAATCCCAAGTGTGTTCTGATGTTCTAGATGCATGAACAACATGGTAACATATGTCCTGTAGAGTCCTCAGTCGGCTTGACTTTGAACCTTCAAAACTTCAGAGTTGCAAGAACCATTCAACTATGCCGTGTGCAACGCATCCCAAATGACTCTAAACGATCAGTTTGCAGGATTGCGATTCCGCGGTGTTTAGCAGGTTTGATTAGTTTACAAACAGCGCAAACTGCAAAGTAGCCATAGACATGACCCCAACGTCAATGATTTAGCCATGCAAGGTAGGAAACGGAACTCAACAATCAAAATCAACAAGTTGGCCAAAAAAAACGCATCATATGGGATGATGCTGCGAACTGCATAGTGAACCACCTTAAAAGCCTGCTTGAACGCCGGCTTACCCACCACACGGCCAGCACTGCGACATGGACATTTGCACCATTCCGCTTTACCGGGCCGAAAGCATTTGGTCAACCACAATATGTGCAACATACTTTGGATTTCTTGACGTTTGAATATGGAGGCACATGTACCCGATGTTCGGTCCAAACCTGATCGAAACATATTTGCCCCCAGCCTCTGATATACATTACCATAAGCCCTCAAGACCTGAATGTGTTATATATATATATATGTATAAAAGGGCGCTGATTGAAGGGCCCCCTGCCGGAGTCTTCCAAAACCTGTTGAGTTTAAAGTTGCTAGTGCTTATGCCACCGCCTCGGGACACTTTTATACCTGCGGTGGCTCTAGTTCTACTGCGCCGCTCGTTTGACACAGCGCTCTGCGCAGTTTAAGTACAGCGGTGCATTCGCAGTCGGGCAGAGAGCTCAGAGGCAGTAGCGCCATTTGCAAAAGGGTTTGGGTTGGTTCCTTTGATGAACTCGGGCGAAGAAGCTGCCATAGGTTCTTGCTGCCGTTCTTTGGATGCACTTGACAGAGAAGGCCCCTTTTGCGTATGGTTAACAGGCGTCTTCACCATAAAAAAGGTTCCCCCAAGCAACTCAAAGACTTCTTGCAGTCCCTCTTTTCCTACCACGTCCTCCTCCGCTATGCCTGTCTTCCACATGAACTCTCACCTAATATGGGGTGCCCTTTGCTACTGTGCCGCTTCACCATTAAAGTTGCCCCCCCCATTCAACACAAAGCTGGCCCACCGCATTCTCTTCCCTCTCGGACAACATCATTTCTTGCAACCCCCCCCACAGCAGTCTGTTCCCTCTCCTGCCCTCACAGCACTTCCACATAAGAGACGCGCACCTCCCTGTCACCCGTGGAAGACGATTTAAATAGCCACGAGAGACGCGCATCACTTTTCGCGTCCCGTTGCCCCCCCCTTTGCTATCATCGACGTGAACTCCCACCCCTGGTAGAAGACTGTTTACATGATGCTAATGATGCAATCTTCGCCGTCAATTACATCACTTGCATCGCAACACCCCAAAAAAACATATATTTAGTAACTCCCATTCTGCTCACCATTTTCTCGCTCTCCCTCACCAGGCCCTGGGCTCGCCCTCCCAAATTGCCTTCTGTGCGACCACCCCACACACACCCTAATACTCACTTCGTTCCCCCATCGACAACTCCAGCCTAGCCTATCGGCTGGCTTTCGTGATAAATTGTGCACCCAGGGCCCCCCCAGTCATCGAAACCCCATATAGGACGCACCCATATATACATTATATCTAGCCTTCCAAGGCGTGAGGTTCTTGCGCGGGTTTCTTATGTCAAGCTTAAACCTGAACATCGAAATCGGAGTTTGCTAGGTTTGGACAAACATATATATATATATATATTGGTAAACAATGACCAGCTTATGTTGTTGCCTTCCACACATCCCCCAATCTCTTTCCTTCCACTGGTTCTGCTTCGGACTGGTCTTGCTTTCGCACCTGGCCAGGGCTTCCACGGGGATGTCCACGCTCTCGCCTTCCACCAAGCCCAAGGCCAAAGCTTGCAAGTCCCTGGCCTGGCAGGCAAAGAAACTACACCTTATTGTATATATATATACAGTATATATTACTATATCGAACGTGGAGACTGCTGAAGAACGTGCCACCTGGCCTTTGTCTGCCCTTTTTGGTTACGTCACGTCGTTACTGTTCCTTTCCTGTCAAGGCCTGGAAGGTTTCCAACCGCTTCAAGGCCGCAGCTTGGGTTGCCTCTGGCTGACTTGAATGCGTCAGTTGCCCTCTTGTTGCAGCGAGGCATCCCTAAAATACTGAATCTGTGTCACTTAAAAATGCAAAATTGCACACTAAAGAAAATCAAATCATTATTGAGTACAATATAGTACAGTATATATAATTTATTCTTGCCCCTGAGTCCGGTTTCATGAAAGCGGCATGACTGCACAATCACAAAAGCAAGCGCACTGAACGGGTCACTCGCTTTCTTTTTGGACACGGAGCAATGGGGAAGGTACATGCAGTTCACGCCCCGCAGTCAACCCGACTCTTCAGGCTGAACTCTCTGTAGGGCTTTGTCGACCTTGCCCCAAGGAACGTCAAAGAACTCTGCCCCCAGCTTGCATAGTATCAAACACTAGCCTACTCGGGTCTTCAGCTATGTTTGAAGCTGTTGCCACACGCGCGTACCAGAGTCTCAATTGTAAGTCCATTTCGAGACCTGTCGCGAGATCAACGATCTGCTCTGCAGCAGCCGTTGCACCGACTCCTCTCAAAAGACTTGAGCGAGCAGCATCATTATCTAGGTGACTTACCAGTTGGCAGTTGTTCAAATATGGAGCCCAAAGAAGGAAGGAGATCCAAACTGGCAACAACTCGAGTTCATATATTTGATTTTCCGACATACGGCTGAACTCGCGCGTGATTCTGTCTGGGACTTTGGCTCCAAAGAAAGCTCTGAACATCCCACAAGGGTCTACCAAGACACCTCCAACACTCCCAACCTTGGTTTGTAGGCCTTCGCACGCTCCATCCATGAAAAGAACATACGAAAGCAAACTTGTTGGAGTGATTTTCAGAGGGGGCGCGCGAAGAACTCTGTCTTGGAGGAATCGAATGGCCTCTATGTCTCTGTGGGGTTGAGTTTGCAATTCTTACTGTTACGAAGCGCGATTTCTCCGAGGATTTTGACAGCCTGGTTGGCAACTCGACCAAAGGCAAAGCTTTCAAACCAGTGCATTCTTCCTCTCAACGATTCTGCTTGTTTATTGGAAATTTCTCCTTCCTGTAGGAGTCCTTGAAGAACGCTCGAGAGTTCGTTTCTGCGATCAGCAGAATGACCAATCAGGACTTCTCCTTGGCTCCACTGGGACAAGTCAATTTCCACCCCTAAGGTTTTGAATTTCGAGGCGAAAGGCGTAGCCTTGGAACCATCTCTTGCAAAGTCTATTCCTAAGAGGTCAAACAGCATCTCTACGCAACCGGTTGTGTTTTGCGCAAGTTGCTGAGTTGAGAGGGCCGTGTAATCGTCAAAGTACGCGCTCCAGCTAAGGGACAAGGCCCGGATTCCAACGTACCACACCGCCAAACTCACGCGCAAAAAGGCGCCTACCGAGCCCACAGACCCGAAAGGCAGGGAATTTAAGCCCAACAACTCTACTTGATTGTTGTCTGCATTTAGCACGGCAATCCGCACCAGATCCCTGTCTTCAAGTCTTATTCCATATTGTTTGTGTGCAGTCTTGAGGTCGAAAGTGCGTCCTACTAAGGTGGAGGCAGGATTGTGTTTGCGCGAAAAGTCAAGGCACCATCCTAAGTGTGCGGCAATTTCGTCAACTGCGTGAATTCTGAACTTTTCATTGACTCCTACGGTAGAGTTCAACCCTCCTATGGCGCAGTCGTCGATCATCCTCACTTTCTGCTTTTGAGGGAGTCCAAACCTCTTTGCCAGAATGAAGTGGTCGGCCTTTGCTTCTTTGTTAACCCAAACATAACCAGCCTGAATCTCATCTTTCGTCAATTCCCAAGTCTTGCGAACAATTTCATCGCTTGGGTCTAGAGAATTGACCTGTGAGAGAATTCTGGAGTTGAGGCCTTTCGACATCAACCTAACAGTGTCCAAATCATATTGCGGCCTTTTGGCGCCGGGGGGAAAAATGCCTGACTTTCTCATCCAACCCGAAATTGGGAACCCTTCGGCAATATCTTGTACCACTTGCCGCTTGCCTATCTGGGAACTCGAGCTCTTCGAGAATTTCGCGAAAAAGGAGAAGCCGCTTGGGCGCAAGAAGCTTACGTAAGTGTGGGCTCATTGCAGCCTTGAACTTGGCCTCTTCCTCTCTGAGTTCATGAGCCCGTTTGGTCCATTTCGCGAAGAAATCGGCGCGTCTACGGACCAATGCTGCGTCGCACCTGTTCATGTTGCTTTCAAGCACCCTAGTCACATCTCTAGGCAAATGGATTGCAGAAGACCTTGGCTGTCCACACCGAACGATTCGTGCGACGAATTCCAAGGGTTGCCTTGGAACACCAAAACTCACGACTTCGATGGCACTACCCTCTTGCAAGTTCACTATGCTAGTCTGATTACCTAACAAGAACTGCGAATCATCGGCCCGAAATTTTCCCCACGTAGTTACACGCCGATGGATGGCCTTTGCATGAGGGGGCAAAGCTGGGTGAGAGACCTGTGCGGGGAACGGTGGAACTGAAACAACAAACCAATAGCTACCGTGTTCGGAAACCTAAGGGCGGTATTTCTTACCGCGTGGAAGCATGTCTAACAAAAGGCGGTGTGCACTTACACCGGCAGCTTGTTGCGTGGACAAATCCTGGGAAGCAACACATTCTGCCTTCACGATTCCGACCAACCTCTCACACAACAAAACGGGGTATATGCAATTTCCTCACCGGTCGGAAACGCAAGCGCTCCTTCGACCAAAGTTGGAGCCCATGGGGCGTGAGGGTGAGAACGATCACACTCCTGTGCAAGCGGCAAGAACCAGTCGCGGGTACGCCACCACCTAGTTGCTTTCCGACGCAGGCCCCCCGTGACAACAGTTATGGAACACAGCATCGACCCCATGCACCTGGTTCAGCAAAGACACAACTGCTGGGATGTCCCAGAACAAGGAGTTGACCGGGTTTTCAACCGAAGCTGTGAGATCTAACTTAACAGCAGCAAGAACTAAGCGACAAGTGTTGTCGTAGACTCTAGACGACGTTAACTGGCAGTTTCACACTTCACTTTGTCGAGTCCGGTCAGGCCATCTAATCCGAGTGGCTTGCTCTTTGACCGCAACGGTTGGGCCACCCGAAATCCTTGCGCCTTTCGAACGCAGGCTGGGGTTTGTCCCTTGACTTGGAAGCTGTTCCACATGCTGGAGAGAAATGAACCCAGGCTATATGGTCTTGTTCCTTTTCAATCAAGTCAACTAAAGCTGAGCAGTGCTTGTCATCAGCTAACTCGAAAAAGGCAATGTGGACCCCTTGCGCATGCTTCTGAGTGTGGTCTATTGGCAAAATACGAAAACCCTGATCCCGCGCGCAACTTTGGACAAACGGGCTGCGCCGGCAAAGACTTCAACAATTAGCAACTGACTGAGGTCCTTGCCAGAAAACCTCAGGTTGGTGCGTGCTGGGCCTGGAGCTGCTGCTTGATGGGCAATATGCCGTTTCTTCAAAACGGCAAGCTTCTGCTGTAACATGTGGGTGAATTCGGTGCTGGGCTCCCCGGCATCCTTTGAAGATGAGGAGTCTCCAACGCCAACGCCTGTTCGAGGTCTCTTGGCAGGCTGTGAAACGATTGGCTCCACTAAGGAAGCTGGCTTGGCGAATTCGTTTTGACAAGCAAAATGGGCGGGCGGTGCCTAGTTCGTTCTCCCCCGCACCAGTGGGGGATTCTAACCGTCAAGAAGTCTTGGCCCGACAGGAGACCAAGCTGTGGTTGTTTCTATGGCACCTGATGCAAATTGTGCACGCCCTTCTTGCAACGACCTTCGGAGTTGGTCTGCTCACGGCAACCGTCTGTCATGTTAAATGCCCAGCAGATGGCTCTGCCTTTTGAATCCAGCTGCTTGTATCCTTTCAGACATAGGGCTTTGGCTTTAGCGGGCGGTTGCGCTTTGGCTTTTCTCTTGGGCGCCTGGGCGCGCTTGCTTCTCCTGCGCTATCATTCTCTGTGGTGAACACAGCAGCGACTGACTTGGGCAAGGGGAGAACATGCATAGTAATCCTGGGGTCTGCGCAAAGAACTTTCATGGCCTCTTCCATGGGAGAAGGGCTGTCTGTCAGCCTGCGGTTCGACATCTGGAATTCTTGCGCCATCACAGTGAAAAGCTCTTTATCTGCTTGGATCAAAAGGTCAACCCGCACTTTGTGATAGCCAGCAGGCGCATCTTTGGTCAACAAGTTCAGCAGTTGCTGAACCCGTTTTTGATGGGTGCTCCAGGCGATCAACCCGCATTGGTCGAAGGCAAGGCCGCGGCGTTGCAAGGCCCATTGCACTTGAAGGGTCTGTAGAAAGATCCGCTGAGACATGTGTGTCAGCAGGAATGATTTTTAAGGTCTGCTGTTCCAACGAGAGAGTGGCCGCTTTCTGTTTGCCAAGGAGCTGAACTTCGTCATCCCGCTTTGAGCGTTTGGAGGGTGGAACCCAGAGAATAGTGTTGCTCTCCACCATGGCTGCAACATGGTCAATTAGTGCGTGCGACGGGAGAAGTTCACCCAGAAAGCTGAATACCTGCTAGGCGTTTCTGCTGCTCCAAGAGCCTGGCTTGCTTTTCGGCGGGCGGGATTTTCTTGACAACTTCGATCCCGGTCTCGGGGTTCACCTGCGACTTCAGGTGTGCGACCACCATTGTGGAAGATTCAAAGTGCAAGCGCCGGATGCGAGCCAACAGGGCTATCTCCATGTCCGAATCTCTATTCAAGTGCTTGCAGAACTCCTTGAACTCCGCATCCGTGGGCGGGTTCTGTGGGGTCCCTAATGTGGTCCTCTGATTAATAAACACCCCCAGAATAATGACTCATTTTTTCCTGCACTGATTAATAAAGGCCCCCAGAATAATGTCTTTTTTTTGGAGGGATAGTTGTAGTGGAATTTTTTTTATTGTTATAGTTGACTTTTTCCCTTTTGATTTGCTTTACTCACCCTCTATTCCTTATTAACTTTTCCTAAGCTCTTTAGTTTTGAAGCTTTCCAAAAGTTTTCAAAAGTCAGTGCGCACTTTCTTTATAAAATCCCTTATTCAAAAGTATTGAAAAACAAAAAAAGCATTCAAGCCAAGGGGGTGGTCCAGCAAGCAGCTTTCTGACATTATTTAGGGGGGGCCCTAGAATAATGTCTAGAGATTTGAGGCTTTAAATCTTTATTCCTTTTCTTTGCCTTTTGATTTGCTTTACTCACCCTCTATTCCATATTTACTTTTCCTAAGCTCTTTAGTTTTGAAGCTTTCCAAAAGTTTCCAAAAGTCAGCGCACTTTCTTTATAAAATCCCTTATTCAAAAGTATTGAAAAAACAAAAATCATTCAAGCAAAGGGGGTAGTCCAGCAAGCAGCTTTCTGACATTATTGAGGGGGGGCCCTAGAATAATGTCTAGAGATTTGAAGCTTTAAGTCTTTTTTTCCTTTTCTTTGCCTTTTGATTTGCTTTACTCACCCTCTATTCCTTATATACTTTTCCTAAGCTCTTTATTTTTGAAGCTTTCCAAAAGTTTCCAAAAGTCAGTGCGCACTTTCTTTATAAAATCCCTTATTCAACAGTATTGATAAAACAAAAAATCATTCAAGCAAAGGGGGTAGTCCAGCAAGCAGCTTTCTGACATTATTTAGGGGGGGGCCCTAGAATAATGTCTAGAGATTTGAGACGTTAAATCTTTAGTCCTTTTCTTTGCCTTTTGATTTGCTTTACTCACCATTGAAATTGCAGGTCTTTGGATTCAGATTTTTCAAATTTAAAAAAGTTAGTTATATTTCCATTGATTCATTCCCTTCTATTGTAATTAATATTCCAGATGTCTTCAAAGTTAGGTTTTCGTGACTCCTTTTATTTTAATATTGCCAGAGTAGATTGGTTTTCTAGCGCATTGTTCTGGAGTCTCAAGAGTTGAGGGGGAGGGGGGGGGGAGAGGGGGGGGGTTGATTAATCAAGGGACCACATTATGGTGAAGCTCAACTCAGAGAAGTTGTGGAGGCTATTGTCATGCATTATCTGCTTCAAGCTTCCTGTGTTATCTATCTTGTCGCAGTGAGCATCGAAGGCTCTTGAACCCACCAAGGCCGTGGCTGACTCCGAGGTCCGAGGTCCTTTCACTTTGCGAGTCAACCTCGCAGCTCAGCGACCAAACTACAACAGGCTAAGGATAGTCAAACTTAGGGTGACATGCAAGAACACGTGAGAACAACCTTGTGTCCGCCTAGGAAGATAGGTGTCTTGTTTCATACAACACAGTCTTGAGCCGGATGCGTCCTACACACGGCAGTCAGGGCCATCCCACTGCGTGTGTTCCACGCAAACTCACTGTGTGAACACCTTGAACACCTTCAATCCATAGTCCTGTGAGTTTGCTCGTCAAAACTAAGCAAACATAGTCCTGTGAGTTTGCTAGTCAAAAAAACAAACAACAGGAGAGAGAGAGAGAGAGGGAGTGAACGCACTAAGCGACAGCTCCACTTGAACTTACCGGTCCGCTGCTTTTTCACAAAGCCACGGACTTCGTCAGCCTTGCTCATGCTCCAGTGCCTACACTGTGAGACATCGAAACGCTGGTGCCCAGTCGCTTGTTCGTGCTGCTGACCTATCTTCCTTCCACAAGAAGCTTAGTTTGCACCCCTTGAGCGCAAGGTGAACTGTATGCAGTTTCTTGTGTTTCCAGACGTCAACCGACTCATCAACTTTTAATGCGACCGTATCTCTTTCCGGGCGCACCACCGCATCATCTCCACTAGAAGATGGCGACGAGGTTGTCACACGATCACTTAAGTGGTTTTCTTTTGTCTCAACATCCGATTCAGTGTCAACATGAACAACTTCCCTGTCCAGCACAATCGGTTCTTCTTTTACAAGGATGACTTTGCCAACTTTGCTATGGGAAGTTGCACCGGTTGTTTCTGAAATAAAGCGTCCACTTCTAGTTGAATCTGGGCGAAATTCTTAAAGGCCTGGTTGCACCATCTCTACTATACGTGAAGGCCATCCGGAGGGGGTTTGTGTGGTACCCCAGTGCCAGGCGATCTGCAAAACCGCACCCTGCTTTGGCTAAATACGACAGGCATGTGGCTTTGAGAGAGTGCGAGGTATAAACTACTTCGCACTTTGAATACCTACAAATCAGCATGTTAATCCATTTGCCAGCTTCAGAAGTGGATAATGGCCTGGAAGTAGCCATTCCACTTGAGGTTGGCACTGGCATTGGAGGAAAAGCTTTAATATTTTCGATGTTCGAAAGCTCTCTGACTTCCTTCCACCTTGCCGCCCAGTTCAGCTGATGGACGCCAGTTGCTGGCGCTGTCAGTGGAAGGAATGCATGCCTCAACTGCAAGGCTCTGGCTGTCTTATGCACTCCGGTCGAACCCTCAACAAATACTAGGTCACCTGTTTCGGAAAAGTCAAAACTAAGGGCTTCTACATGCTGGGCGTCCGTCCACCTTGCACGCGCATATACGCAAAACAAGGCCATCCCGGCACACGCTGCATCCCAAAGCTCGCTTGACTCGTGCAACGCTACATGCAAGGCTAACAAGTGTTGGACTTGCAGTGGCGGCGCTTGTCTGATTGCTCCAATCGTTGTACTGGAAGCTGCACCCCTACAACGCCTGCTAACTAGACACTCCTCCAAAGTTTCAATGCCCAGCATGTGTCGAGAAAAAGTGAGTGCTTCGATGAGTGCTTTCAACCTCGATGCTTTTGCTCCATTTTCTCTCTCCCTGCACAAGTATTTGTACAAGTATTCTTCAGAACAAGGAAACTGAACCTCTTCACAGTTCATTTGGCTTACAAGTCTAGCCAAACTATTGCCACGTTTCGCCAAAGTTGCCGGAGACTTGTTGTAAAACACATCCATCAGCACTTGTGCCCTTTGAGTGAATTTCTGCAGGCTCAGCACATGCCTGACAATGGTTTCTTCTTTGTTCCAGGTTTCGATCATTGACAGCCATCTACGAATGGCGCGCTCCCATGTGGCTTCGCGCTCCTCTTTCCAGGTCATGACAGGAACATCCCTGACTACTTGCTGATAACAGCTGAAAGTCAGTTTCTTGGACGGTTGACGAACGATGCTGGCCGCATCTATAGTTCAGCGGTGACGCTTTCCTGGTTCACCTGGGGTCGGAACAGTTGCTCATGTGAATTCATGGCCCCTGTTGAGTCTTTAAAGATTTCGGCCCAAAAGCCATGCTCCCAAAAATGTTCAAGTGGCTTGTGTTGCAAAGACATCCAGGACCGTCTGACTGCATGGTCAGGATCATAGTTGCAGTCCGCTCGGAAAAATCCGAAGCTGCATATATTCATGGGCATTTGTGCTCCGTTCAAGATTCTAAATAAGACTCCCTGGATCCGATTTGCACCCTTCAAGTCCATCGGAAACGAAATCATCAGAACAACACGCATTGATATCGAACTCTTCAAGGTCATCTTCCATGGCAATAACTATCTATAGCCCCCATGCTACATGCCACATCTTTCGAACCTTCAGGCCGCAGGAAACCTAACTTTAGGAAACTAAAGTTTACTCTGAGTTACGAATAAGGTCATGATCCTTACAGGTAAGGAGCCTTAACATAAAACCATTCTGCGTGCATAAGTCTCAATGGAAATACGCTGACTGATACATTTACATTTCTAGGTGCCGCTGGCCGTTGGCAGCCCAAACCTTAATTGTGTTGCTCGCAATGCTCAATTCTCCCCTGCCTGGAACACCGACGGGAAAGACAACCTGGGCTTCACCAATCATTTGATACCATACTCAAAGAGAACTGAGCTCTGTGATGCGATTCAAAGGCCAAAAGCAACTTGTATCTCTATACGATTAGCAACTCTTTCATACTCTTTCTATTCCTGGCTGGGAAGCAGTGCTGTCTAGCTTTCAAACACAAAACGCCCAAGACCAGAATTACACGGTATTATCTGGATTCACCAGGTTGCGGTCTGGCCACTTTAAGCTGGCATAGGTTGATGCCATCATCGATAGGGCTTGAGGATCGAACTCTGCCACCTTGGAGCCTAGCATCTGTGAGAGATTCGCAGTCTAGAAACTCCACCAATAAAAGGCTTGCTACTAGGAGCAAAGGGCATCGCTACTAGGAGCAAGGACGCTACTAGGGGCTCCTGGCCTTATTACTAGTAACAAGAAGCTACTAGTAGGCAACGGTGATGCTGTAGATGTGGAACTGCGCTGGTGAATCCAAACTGTGCTGGTTCATGCCAAGCCACAGAATGCGGCTGCCGCAGAAGTGAAGAGTGAATCGCACCTGGAGCCGTGCTGTCTTCAAACTATCCTCCCATGCCGTAGCAAGGAAGCTACTAGCAACAAAGGGCATCGCTACAAGGAGCAAGGACGCTACGAACGTAGCTCCTGGCATTACTAGGAACAAGAAGCTACCAGCAACAAGGGGCATCGCTTCTAATAACAAAGGGCATTACTACTAAACTACTAGGAGCATCCTTACTACTGTCCTCTCTCTCTGCCCACCCATGCAATGTATCACTTTCGTCTTGATTACTTCTAGGTCGCCATCCATGAGATACAATATCCGATATCCGCTCACTGGTACAGCAATGTCATGAACCAAATCGCCACAAGTTCAACTAGTCTGCACCAGTAGCATCTGAAAGGAACTAACTCCTATAGACTAGACTTTCATTAAACATGTTCAATCTATCCACGTCCATTTTGCACGCTGGGAGCACAAAAAATGTGTCTTCTTGTACATAGCCTTTGCACGCCTCAAACGGAGCGTTGCAAAGGACCACACCAAGTTGGAAAGGTTCTGCGGAGTAAACTGCGGCAGTTTTTGGTCGGAGTGCTTGGCAAGCCTCAAGACAGTGTAAAGTGCAGATTGGACCGCTAAACCCTTTAACGTTCAACCGACTCCAGTGACTCCAGGAAGTGCTCCGATTCAATTGCCACCAGAGCCCAAAATGAAGGAATGTCTGAGGCTGGCTCTTCAAAGGCCCCTCTACAATATGTCATCTGTGAGCTTCATACCATAATCAATGTTGAACATGAATCGCAGTCAACTCGTCAATTTTGTTTATGTTTCATTTGACCTTCTCGAAACACTTAAAAACAGTCTGAAACGCAAGAACTTCAGCTACAGCCTAACATCATTTTCTCACATCAATGCACCATGAACAACGCCTTGTTTGCAACTGCCTATGAGATCCTATAAGTGATTATCCTGTCCCTTCACATTCATTCACTGTCCAAGACCAAATGCGTAGCTGACGCCAGGTGCTATTGCAGCACAAAGCTTGCAGTAGGGTCAGGTAAAAATTATCAGGAGACACTTGCCACATGACTTGATGCCCCTATGAAGTGCTAGACAAATCAGACAAGTAGCAAGTTATTGAAACACCAACGGGTGTCATGCCAAGACACTGGGCAAAAAAAGGCTCATTTGGAAGTCCCAACGTTGCAAATGCCCATGCCTCAAATGAATTCAAATGATGAAATGACGGCTGTGCATGATGGCCCCAAACTCCCAAATCCCCAAACCAATTTACTCTATATAATCACACAACTCTTCCATGGTGGATGACAATGTTGAGGCAATGAGGGCCAAAACAAGGACAACCGATAACACAAACTGAACAAGATGGCTGGGTGGAACCAACAAGTGTTGCAGCTAAAATGAAGCACTGCCACATATATTTGGATATATATGAGGGACTGTCAAAACTCCTTATTCTTCTTCGACTAAAAAATGGACGTCATTTTGAGTTCGTCGCATACTTATGACCATATACAGCGCTGGGGTTATCGGTTTTGAGGGGACCTTATCGTTTTGCAGGGTTTTGTGCACAAACCTACCCCTCTTTACTAAAGTGGTCTTCGCATGTTTTGACCGTGGCTCATATAGATTATCCAAAGGGCAAAGAGTTCAATGTACAGTAATTTGTTAACTGCCCAGCCTAGTATCAAACACGAGTTCACATCAAAGACAAAACTAACTGAGCAGGAAAAAACTAATGAGGCTGATACGCGTCAAACACCATTGTCAAATCCAGTACTCTTTCAGCTCTGACCGATCTGCCGGGTCTCCGTATTGGCAATGTTCTGCGGTTTGAATGCACGCAATGTGGCTTGGGCCTACAAAGCATGTAGACTGCCAAGACTTTACCCTGACTGCACCCATTGTCAAAAAACTATTTGGATTCTCTAGACTCTAGAATCTAATGTCTCATCTTGCAAACCCAAATCAGGGCCAAACCTTAACATGCACGTGCGAATTCTTCATCTCCAGCAGCTACGCATCTAATTGGAAATAATTGGAGTATCGTTTCGTCCACAATGATTGATTCCAGCGACCCCAAGGACATCGTTAGAAAGGAAACCAAACATGTATTCTTTGGGAAGACCTTTCGATCTGTGTGGGGGCCACTATGCAAAGATGACAACTCCAACAGCAAAGGGCGACAAGACTAAAAAAGGACGAAGAGCAACGCCAACATCGAAACACCCTCCACACAGCTGAGATACCAGCAAAACATCGCCGAGATACCAGTGACACACAGATCACAAACAGCAAACAACCCGAAGCTATTGCTGCTGTTGCTGCTCCGCACATTGGCACCAAGCCTCGGCAGTGATGGCATCCATCAGCGGCAAATGGCGAAAGGCCAAGGTGGCCATGCCTTGGCTCAAACTGCAGTTGAGATACAAAAAAAGCAAAAAAACAAACAAGTAGAAACAACTTGCTAGCAATGGCCTCCAACCTAATAGCGACGGCCTCCACCCTAATAGCGATGGCCCCCGACCTAATAGCGATAGCCTCCAACCTTATAGCGACGGCCTCCAACCTATATAACAACCTAATAGCGATGGCCTCCGACCCAATAGCGATGACCTCCAACCTATAATAGCGACGGCCTCCAACCCAATAGCGATGGCCTCCAACCTAATAGCGATGGCCTACAATTACTTTACTTCGAGTGATCCCCACCATGACATTTCAATCATTTGTCTTGATGCCATAGTGCGGAGCATTTTGCCATGGTCATGAGTATTGTAGTTCTCGATTTTGCTTGTGGGTCCTCGGGTTGTGTGCTGTGGTTGTGTGCTGTGTTGTGGTTGTGGTTGTGTGCTGTGTTGTGGTTGTGGTTGTGTGTTTGTGTTTGTGGCTGTGTTGTGGTTGTGGTTGTGTGCTGTGTTGTGGTTGTGGTTGTGGTTGTGATTGTGTGTTTGTGGCAGTGTGTTTGTGAATGTGTGCTTGTGATTGTGTTTGTGGTTGTGTTGTGTTTGTGGTTGTGTTTGTGGTTGTGTGGATGTGTTTGTGGTTGTGTTTGTGGTTGTGTCTTTGTGATTGCGTGTTTGTAGTTGTGGTTGTGGTTGGGTTGTGGTTGTGTCTTTGTGATTGTGTGTTTGTGGATATGTCTTTGTGATTGTGTGCTTGTGGATGTGTTTGTGGTTGTGTTTGTGTTTGTGGTTGTGGCTGTGGTTGTGTGTTTGTGGTTGTGCCTGTGCTTGTGTGTTTGTGGTTGTGTTTGTGGTTGCGTGCTTGTGGTTGTGTGTTTGTGGTTGTGGTTGTGTTTGTGGTTGTGTTGGTGGTTGTTGTGTGTTGGCGGTTGTGTGTTTGTGGATATGTCTTTGTGATTGTGTGCTTGTGGATGTGTTTGTGGTTGTGTTTGTGTTTGTGGTTGTGGTTGTGTGTTTGTGGTTGTGCCTGGGCTTGTGTGTTTGTGGTTGTGTTTGTGGTTGCGTGCTTGTGGTTGTGTGTTTGTGGTTGTGGCTGTGTTTGTGTGTTGGTGGTTGTGTTTGTGGGTGTGTGTTTGTGGTTGTGTTTGTCGTTGTGTGTTTGTGGTTGTGCGTTTGTGGTTGTGTGTTTGTGGTTGTGTTTGTGGTTGTGTTTGTGGTTGTGGTTGCGGGCTGTGGTTGAGGTCCGGCAGGGAACACTGGGCGTGGATGGTCGTGGTTGAGGTCGTGCAGGGAACACTGGGCGTGGATGGTCAAGGTGGAGGTCCGGCAGGGAACACTGGGCGTGGATGGTCGTGGTTGAGGTCAGGCGGAGGAGCACGAGCAGGAGAAGGAGGACGCGGAGCAGGAGAAGATGGGGCTGAGATAAAATCTAACAACCCTCACCTGACAGGTGGGGAAGTAGAAACACAGGCAATTAAAGTAACATTGACAAGAGAAAAAAAAAACATATACAAAGAGACAAACAACATGAATAAGGAACACCTCTCCACCGGTGAAGGGGTTCTCGTGGGGTTCTTGATTTCCGATAGAGCTTCCAACATCTTCCTGGAATCAATCCATGATTTGCGCTCTAGATTGTCTGCCATCTGGATCATTTGGCCTTCGTCGTATTCTTCGGTGTTTGATCTTTGTTCATTTCTTGTTCTCCCTTCATCTTGTGCCCGGCATTGGCCAAAAAATTCAGCTTTTGGAGGGGCATTCAAATTTTGTGAGTAGAGGCTTCTCCCCGCCATCATCCATTTCTTGCCAAGAAGCCCCAGGCGGTGATCGACAGGTGCTGAGGTGTAAAGTCCTCAAAGTATGATGACATCGAGTCATCGAGCTAGAATGTTCTTTGCACTTTCATGCAACACATTGCAAGACTGCTTTCAGTATGTACCAGGTGTTTACCAGGTATGTACTATGTACAATCTATGTACCACAACGACATCTTCACAGCAAAATCGTCACGTCAAGGCCCAGTCGAGTCTTAGCCGTTTGGTGGGATGCGCAAGGAAGCTGGAAGACAAATCAAATCCATGCCCCGTTTGGCAACTTAGTCAACACAAACCATGCAAAATAGCCTCCCGTGGCCCAAACTGGATAGCTACCTAACTCTCTCTCTCTCTCTATTCCAACGAATTGGCGCTTTCATCCTGAGGTCTGGAAAATGCTATTACAAATTATCATCATACCAAACTATGTTGTATATTTAATAAGTGTAATATGTTCAGAAAAGCTGTCCTGGAGCCGCTTGCAGGAAACATTGGCGATTGCCAGCAGCAACCTTGTGCTGGCTGCAACTCCAGACTATAGTGTAATGTATTTCAAGTTTATTTGATGCTCACTGTGCTGCGTCTAGTCAGTTCCGAATGTGACAGCGTTCCCATGTTTCCCTTTGTTTGGCCTGATGGCTATTTCAAGTCTTCATTGAAGGCATGCTTACGCTCATCGCTTGTAGGTGTGAAAATCTACTTCTTGTCCAAGTGGCCGAACATGAAGAAATGCAAGCTTTGCACACGCCCAAACCTGAGCCAAGCAAGCCGCACGATCGATCCACCACATGTTGGCGCTTGCATGTCATGATGCTTGGCCACTGAGGGTATGTGCTGAAGCTGAAGCTCCTTGCAACATTAGCTTACCCTCCAGGGAAAGAAACAGCAAAGTAGTTTGCCACCCGTGAACAAGCGCCCTCAAGTCTTGTGTCAACAATTCGTCAGCTGAATCATGCTTCACGATCTGCTGCTGAAACAAAAGCCTTGCATGCTTCCAACACTAGCATCCAATCGTCAGGAGGTTGCTCCTTCCGTGGTACCCATTTGCCTCTGGCTGTCCGTGCATGCCCAGTGGCGGTCGTCATCAAATGCTGTGGAGAAAATTCAGAGAGCCTAGGCTGCGCCTGGGGTTTGTAGCCAAAGATTCACCATTCACGAAAGCAACGTTTTGATTAGCAGAACAAACACGCGTGGCATGGCCTTCGGTTGGAAGCAAAATTAACTGAAAGTGACTGTCAAGCCTATTGGGTTAGTGACGTCAGTCTGACGTTTTGTAGTGACTTTCGCCTTCAACAACATGCACCGCTTGCAATGTGGGCTGGCAATGCTGACCGAACGTCAGTGACTTTTACATACGTACAGAAGCGTACACGGTGCTTCACCTGTGAATTTGATGATGCCCGGTCACCAACTTTCATGAAGGAAGCAACCATCGAATGCCCCAAGCAGAACCAAAAGGACACTGACGACAAACTTTCAATTCCAACCTCGTCTGCCAAGGTCTGCATCAATTGGAAGTCCTGGAATCCATCTAGGGCAAAGCTCTGCTCCAAATACAAAGTGACACATTCCCTATTGCCCTACGGAGCAGCAACATTGGACAACTGCGATGAGTTGGATTGGACATGGTCAACTTGGTCTGGGTCTTCAACATACCTAGACAGCTAGATTATCCTAGACTTATATAGTCCTTTCTGGCCATCTTCGCAAATGACCAGGCGCACATAGACAGCTGCCTTCAGAGTCGACGCGATGCACTGGAAGTCTTCGACGCGAGATGACAGCACTTGTCAAAGACCTTACATTCCAGCAATAAATTAAAACAATTAATATTTCTGGAGTCAAGGTGCTGGGCACTGCAATCAGAAATCTTGTGGCACATCTCTTCAGAAATGATCTCCTCGGCCCAAGCCAGCCATTCGACATGAACGTATTGAATTGAACCTTTGTTCAACCACTGAAACTGACACCTCAGTGAAATGAAATTTTGGGAACCCTGTCCCTGTCGTAAAGCCGCGTAAATAGAGGCAAGGCTAAACCATCAGCCCAGTCCAAACCATCAATAAACCCTATGGTTGAAGAAACCTTTTGAAACATTACAACAAAAATTCCAAGCCTTTTTGCAACTCTGGAAGCTCAAGGGTCCAGCATTTGATCGTGTCGTAAAGCCAAATGTGCAAATGCCCAGGCAGCATTGCACAAAGAGCGGGTGTCAATATAGTAAACCCAGTCCTTGCCAACCGCAGATGCAAACATTGCGAACACTGCGGTGGCTCCATCCGACATTGACCATGAGAGAAGGCCTCCAGCCCTTTGAAGGCAAACAGATCCCCTGTGTAGATGGCGTTCAGAAACAACACAGGAACAATGCAATGAGGCAACTCATGGCACCGGATTTGCTATGGTGAGTGTACAGTATCCCATGACAGTATAACATAACCCTACTGTATGACTTTCTGCTTAATTAGCATTTGCATGCATTTGCATGTCTGCATGGTTGTTTCAAATCCAGTCATGCATCATCGCTGGGCACCCATCGCCCGGTCTCTTTCATCTCTTTCCTTTCCATTTCATCCTGGAGCGAAGAGAATTAGCCGAACAACATATGGTCGTGCATGGCCTACCGCTGCTGGTGAAAGGAAGAAACGGAGCGAAAGGAACTTGGAGTCATCTGGATGACTCATCCTCTTGCCCGTTTAGGACAAAAACCAATGATTCGAACACGTGCCTTTTCTTTGCCTCTTTGTCCAGGCTGCTTCAGCATTCTCAATTTCTCAAATGACAATATTGGAAAGGTAGAGTCAATTATAAATTTCTCTGGGAACAAGAATCTACTAGGGGCTCCTGGCCTTACTACCAGGAGCAAGGACGCTACTAGGGGCTCCTGGCATCGCTACTAGGAACAAGGACGCAAAATTTCCCTGGTGCCATGTTTAAATTGACTAGCTTTGCAAAGCAATTGTTAAAATTGCTGGCACAAACATGCGGAAACAATAAGGTCCTTCTTGGAGCTCGTGAACATGTTGACGAGCCTTCTGTTCAGGTAGTGGATCCTTGGCTACATCACTTGCATTCCAATAGATTGGCCAGTCTCTTCTCCCAACCTTTGGACAACATCCGCACTCTGCCATGTGCCTTTTTGGCCAGAACTGCCAGAACCCCAAAAGCCAGATGCGCTGGACCCAATACTCTTAAAATGGCACATATATATATATATATATATACAAACAATATGTTCGAATATGTTCGACATATCGATGGAATGGCACAAGCAAGTTCTTACCACAAGCCTATTATGAACCAACATGAACCAACCACGTTGAACATCTTTGAACATCATTTAGGCCCTTGTCGAGAAGGTCCAGGATCCTTGGGTCTCTTCTCCACTGCTGCCCATCAGTTGCCTTGGCAATACGATGAAGAGCTGTCACGGCGTTCACCACACTGAACTCCAATAGTCTGCTGTCCAAAAGCTCCAGGATCTCGCCAGCACTGGCCTCAGGATGGAAAAGGGTCTAATCCTTACCTTCCGCGATGCCTGCACTGAAACACGCTTCATGACTGTTGCCTTGGCAAGAAAATAAGAAAACCTGTACAATTGGAGGCTCTGATCTATGTATATACTCCAATGGAAACATGTCAGAATACCCTTCTTCCAGTCGGATCCTTCGATCCATTTCGATCCCCTGGTTCCAGCTGCCTAGTGACCTAGTGCAGCCAAAAGGTACATTACATATCAAAATTTGGTGTGAGGCGGCAACATTAGCCTGCCCTTCTAGGACAGGACAGGGGGTGGGGGTATCCGGTTGCAGGATTTTGGGCGCGTTCGCCACAGGATCCGGTCTGACATTTTGGCGTCATGTCGTGTACACAAGTCTTGCAAACGCAAGCTTAGTGCAAGTCTAATAAATTTAATGATGCTTCATGATGTAAGTGTCATGTTCAAAGGACGTAGCTCAATGGACAACATTGCCAAACCATGTCCACGAATGGCAAGAAACCTTCTCCAGGATCAAGTCATTGAACTCTTTGCCTTTCAAAGGCTGTGACGAACTCCTTTCGGTAAATCCAGCTTGCCACTTCAGTGATGTGGAGTCGGAGCTGTGAATTGGAAAACTCACCTTCGAAGCCACTGCTTCACCAAAGGGCTCCTCCGGTGGTTCTTGGGGATCCTCAGTAGTTTGCACGCCACATGTCCAACAAAAGCAAATACTCATTCTCCACACTCAAACAAACGGGAAACAGCATCCTCAGTTCCGCGATGGGAGCAGAAAGGGCTCGGGGTAGTTTGATAATTGATTGATCAAACAATTTTTCCCTGACCTCCACTCTATGCGCCCAGGTGGTTTTATCAGTCCAAGTGTCTGGTTCTTGATCACCTGCATCCGGTGAGTGACTTTTGAGTCCAACTTCCTGATCAATCCTCTCCTTGGCAGCGTCCTCAGGTTTAACAGATTCGAAGATATCCTCTTTCTCCACTCCACAATTGCAGCAGCTAGCCAGCTATACAATTCGAGCAATAAGGTACCCCTTTGAATGCAGAAGGGTGCAGAATGCCTGAACGGATCCGAAGGGATCTGAAGCTTAGACAAAAAGGTTTGCTAAAGCATCGCCCAAGTTCCGCAACGTCATGAGCCCGCTCTTGGCAGTGCGAGGAGTCCCAGTCCCAAGTGTGAAACGACCGTGACGAAGGGTTCCAAGCCCAATCTGAACCTTGGGTAAAGCGGTCAAAATGAAGGACAAAGGCAAGCAACGTTGTTGCTGCACATAAGGTTGACTACGCAAACAACCAGCAACCTGTAGCCACTCAATATCCTGAAAAGTTGTCTTGCCTAGATTGAGTACTTGTCAACAAAAAACAATAGTATAAATGGTCATCCTCAAACTGCACAATTAAAAAGGTATCGGGTATCAGCAGTATGCCGCATGCTTGCCAGCAGGTTCTTAAAAGCATTGTTCAGGACCTTGCACTAACCGCAACTTACATTTTCATTTCCGCGCATCAACAAATGAAACACCATCCATTGAGTCTATTTGCATGCGACTTTTAGAATTGAACAACTCAAAAAGGATTCTTGACCAAATCACTGTTAGCAAATGGTCTTTAATCACCACATCTGGATGTCATTTCTGGAAGCAACCTGTCCAAGAGTTCCAATCTCTCCAGGACCTTTGAGAACTCCAGCTGTGGGACATGCCATGGCGTCCAAACCACGCACGTAGCGACGTCAAATGCAGTTGAGCAAAGAAAACACATCACTAGACAATCGTTCGACATTACAGCACATAAACCTCTGGGGTCCATCCTAATGGTGCTTGTCTAGACAAAAAGGTTCCTTTGGAGAATAGGGAGTGCATGATCTGCAACAAGCAAATGCTTTCAAGGACTTGGAGTCGATCCTCTTGGGAAGTTCTGTGGAGCTTAGGACCTGCTTCTCCATGGAAGCGGCATGTCTCAGAAGCGGGAATTGGCTACAATTGCTTCACGTTCGGTTTCATTTCCACGACTTGACTATATAGTCTATTCTCAGGCAACCACGCAAAATGTCACCGGACACTTATGCAGGCGTGCGCTATTTTGGTTTGGGCAAGGGTAGATAGATCAGTATAGGATTGTGCAGACATCCACTGGTACGACGGAGATCAGTTTGGTGAAGCCTCGTAGGACATCCAAACATCCCGAACACACTTGCTTCAATCTGGGCACTGTATGCAGTTCACAGTCTCTAATTAATTTCCACTAGTCTGCAGCTGCAAGCCCATCATATCACCGTGTGGTTGGCAAGTTTGTCCTGCTGGCGTGAAACTAATGTGGACGCTGCATCGCCTCACTCTTGGAATTCAGGGTTCCCCACACTAGGCATCATCCTGACGTCGGGTGCATTGTCAGATCTTCAGTAGGGAGCCCGACTATGATCTCACTGGCATTGCACGTGGCGACACTGGTTGAGTGATGTTGAGTGTATAGCACTTAGCTGTCAACGTCAATCAATCTTGCTTTTGCGTTATCCGACGGAGTCAGCCGGCCAACTCCACTTCAACCAGCCTCCATATCGGCAAACCAGGCACTTTCCTTGGAAGACACTTTAGGAAGTATGAATTTCCACATTCAATTGCTAGCTTGACTCACGTCGGAAGTTACTGTACCCAAAACAACATGGTAACATGTCTGAACATGCCAAACGCCGACCATACCTTGTGAAAGGACAAGGCAGAATATTGAAGTTAATTTGAGTTGCATGTGTGGTTCTTGGTGGAAAAATCCCGAGAGTCGGGGAGCACTACGTTAAATAGAATGGCTTGGCCTCTGACCATGCATTGCTGCACTGTCCAGCGGTACGCTGAATATACATGCCTCACACGTTCAATATGTCTTGACACTTCAACGGGAACACAAGCAGCCGAATTCACTCTTGCAGCCAAATACAAGCTGCACTCGTCACACGTGGCTATGATCCGGACAACATGCCAGTGAGGAGATCCGACCTCAAAGCAGGAAGGCTGCGGCTAACATCTGGCTACAAATGATACCGAAACATGAAACTGACCCAAGTATATACAAAACATCTGAACGGATGCTCATTGGATGGAGGTGGCTTGCCTGGTCAGTGTCAGGTCAGTAGGTTCTCTTCTGCTGCATCCAGAAAATGGGGCTAGAGACTGGCCATCTCCCAGTTTGTGTAGCTTGTCACTCAGAGACTCAGAGATATAACATAACATAGCTGACAAACATCTAGCAAAACACTACTAAACGTGTCGGAATTAGAACATGCCAAACTGAACACACGGCCGTTGCATGCAGCAAAAAGCTGAGCTCATGTTTCCCTCCCAAACACAGTACCATCAAAACTCAGCAAAACCAGTGAACTCTTCTTGGACTCTTTTGACCTTCCTGCTCAGGGCGCGGCGCTTCGTCAGACAGGTCTCTTGAATGTGGCTTCTTGAATGCCTCCAGAAGAGCCTCCGTTATTTATAGCCATACCGAGCTGCTCACAGGGCAAACTACATAATTATCATTCCGTAGGGTTGTCTGGAACCAGTAGTTAGTAGTTAACAGTTTCATGGTTATCGCCTTATCGCAACTGCCAAATGAGTTGGCAACTGGGGCTGCGGGATTTCTTGATGGCTCAATGACGCAATGCCACTCCAACACAAATGAAGAAGTCACCCACCGGGCCCAGGTGATGCACAAGGAATCAGGTACAGAGCAGCGCAGTGAAGTGACGCTTCCAATTGTCTTAGACGGCTGTGGCAAACTCAAACCTATTCAAAGCAAAAGGATCACTGCCTTCACGCCGTTCTGGTAAACAAACCTGCGGTGCAGTCTTGATGCTCGGCATCGACGTGCTGGAGAATAGCTTCCAGGTAGTAGAAATTTGACTTATTGTGATTCTTTTGATGTTTCTACTTTCTTATTGGAAGGCTTGGCACGAAATGTGTGGACCAGGCTGGGTTTTTCATATCTGACACAGCGCTTCACATCTGAGGTCTTGGCCGAAAGTTGGGAATTGCTAACAAGGCCTGCTTCCATGGCTGAACCTGGCCGAATGTCTACCCCGCAGGCCTGCCCCACAACCAGTGCTTCAATTCAATCACAGCCAGTCAAGACTTCCATTGAGCCTTTGTGATCTCGGAAATGTCACATTATGGCTGACTTGAGGACGACGCCAAACATGTTGAAGCCCAAATCACCACTCAGGAGATCGTAAGGCAATGCACAACCGTGTATAAGCCACTGGAAGGTTCGTAGGACCAAAGGTGAAAAAGGGCTGGACATGGGACATGGTTTTTCCTCTAGAATCCGAACCTGCGCATGCAGGATAAAAAAGGCAACACCAATGGCAAAGACCTCAGCGGCTAGGAGGATCATCCGAACCTTGTAGCAAATGCATGATTTGTGTGTTTTCTAGCCCAGTTGGCCCTCTGCCCTCCTATTATATACTTAATATATACTTAATTAAGTAGGCACCTACTAGCGATAGCCTCCACCCTACTTAATTAAGGGCCAACTTGTTCGCTCCAAGTAACTGGACGGATAGCTCACGCTTCAAGGAAGCTTCTCCCTCCACACGAGTCGATTGTCGATGCATCCAGTAGCGCTTTGGTCCATCTCCCTTCGTCCAAGAGACATCCACTGGTGCCACGGTGTAGCCACAAAGGCTGGCCACCTTGAATTGGTGGCACATCTGCTAGAACCAGTCAAACAATAAGCAGTGTTGACAATGGCATTCCAACAAGCCTTTGTTGTGTGAGTCTAAGAAACTAACACCATCATCGTGGCTATGAAGTACAGCTATTTCACATTTCAGCCCCCCAGCAAGCCTTTCTTTGTGAACCTGGATATGGCGATCCACAGGGACTCAGTTGAGTTGTAAAAGACCGAGTGTTAATGGCGGTTGGGGCAACTTGGAGCATTTGTGGGAATACTGCTCCAAGTGCTGCCGGTCAAATTTGTCAGTTTGTCGCCGAGCAGGTTGAAAACTGAAGACATTTCAGGCAAACTGGATATGGCTGGATGGAACATGTTCCAACAACCCCATGAGTTCAAAGTTCAAAGTACTCCTTTGAGATCTTTTGTGTCCCATCCTTTGAAGCTTAATCTGCCCATTTTGCTGTGAAGGAGCCGAGTTTTGGCCAGGGACAGCATTGTCTGGAAAACTCACGAGGCACCTCTGCCACGGGCTGTATTGAGCTGACTTGGGGGCCAAAACGTCTCTGCCTTCTTGTGGCTCTTTTGATTCATAGATGTCCCTCTCTTCGCAAACTCCAATTAGTAAGAATCTAGTGAGCCCAAAATGACGTTGAGTTGCAGTCTCGAAACAGCACACTTCTAATTCATTGCATGAACTGACTCCATCCACATACCCCACGTCTACAGTAAATCTCAAAGAATGGCATAGACATCCAACGGCCGGCGACCACTGACCGTTGGCAAAGCTGATGACAAAAGCTGAGGTGGTTGCAAATAGCCTCCACCCATAACCTGCACCTGACAGGCAAAGGCTGCATCGCTGACTTCTGTGGAACATTAATGAACAGTCTCCAAAGAGTTAAGTTACAGTACTCCAAAATTGTGCCATTGCTAGAACGTCCATGGCCCAGCCTTTGAATGTCCACAAGAAGCACCTCCAAAAAAAATATACATGTATGTTACATGGTCTGTATCTTGACGATAACAGTAGCTTCATGCCATGTGGTGAATAGGTTAAACATGCCTGCAACCTGCGAGAGCGTGATACTCAATTCTCACGAGTAAATGAACTGACAGGTTTTGGCCAACAAAGAGAGAACTATTATGTAATTTTTGCTAGATCCATCTCATCAGAATCATTATATAACAATACCAAATTGGTGGGTCATCATCGGCCTGAATTGGCTCTAAGCCGGATTCACGCGATTTATTCTTCAAAAGAGCAAAATCAAGCATATTGTATGTCATATCCTTCTAGCTATCTACTGTATCCATTTATCTAATTACCGTCTATCTATCTATCTATCAGCTATCCCAACACATCCCAGACCAAACTTCGACATGGCACCTCACGTCCAGGTGTCCAGCCGTTTGGGCACATGGCCTCGCACACAAACACACAAACACACACAGTCCGGGCATCCGCAACCAATCAAACTTAAGCAAACCTACTAGCGATGGCCTCCAACCTAAGAGGGATGGTCTCCGACCTAACTATATTATATAAGCAAACTTAAGCCTTAAGCAAACCCTTGTTCTTTCTGCCGATGCTTTAGGGGGTACGCTGATAGAGAGGGCTAACAAGTATTTATTAAGTAGCTGGGGTAACTAACTAACTACTAAGCTTAGGCTTGGACGCAAACTAGGGCTGAGGCTTAATGATTCGGTTCCTAGAACTTGGTAAAACTTTTATATAATGTTCTTTCTTTCATGGACGTTTTGGAGTTGTTTACCAAGTATTGGCTACATGCTTGAAGCCAAACTGGCTGACTAGTGCTGATTGCAATCCATGCAATGCAGGCATTTGCTGACGTTCCTGCCAAATGCCCCCTCCCAGTGTTCCCAAGAATGCGACGGCAGTTCTATCTGGTAGTATACATGACAGTATACATGCTAGTCGGATTTCCAAGTTAGCAGTTTTAACAAGTGCTGTCGTCAACTTCACTGCACGGCAGGCCTGAACTTGAAGTCCGGGACAGGTGTTGGAGGAAGGGATGTAGCACTC